CACTGAATGGTGTTATCCACAGGCAGGTAAAGGGAAGGAGCTGCTCAATACTCAAAGGACAGGCAGGAATAAAAAGGACTCAGCCCTGGGTTAGAAATTTGCACAGAGAGCCCAACAGCTTGTTTCATCCCACGCTTCATAAGGTCGGAATAAAAGACACCAAATCTTCCCATGTGAACAACTCCTGCTCATGTACAGATTGTTTACAGTCATTACAAATTATGTGGTCTCATGCTTTTATCAAGTCTAACTTATTAGTTGAACCATTTGTCCTCATACTGAACAATATTTATTTATTTTTTTGTAGCTGTAGATGGATAGCATGCCTTTTTTAAATTTATTTTTATGTGGTGCTGAGGATCGAACCTAGTGCCTCAAACGTGCAAGGCAAGCACTCTGCCCTGCACAATATTTTATTCTGTATAAAGTTCCTGCTATAGAGTGATTCATTATTTTCAATATAGTAAGAAAACCATGATTTCATAAAGAAAACTAACTAATCCTTGCCTAATGAGAATAAAATGATTAATAATAATAATAATAATAATAATAATAATAACAATAGAAGGTACCACAGACCTGCTATGAATTGAAGACAGGATTTTTGACATGTGTTACTGCAACAATAGTGACATTTATCCATTTTCTCTAATTCTTGCTTTCAGCGCTTAATTAGAAATAATACACATTGGCTAAAAAATTAAGCAGAGGTGATTTAGTGCTACCTTAGAAGGTACAGGGGATTGACCATTGTCTTGCTCAGTTTAGTCTGCTCTCACAAACAGATTGGGTGGCTTAAACAAGAAGCATTTCTTTTTCATCATTCTAAATGCTGGGAAATCCACAGTCAAGGCCCTGGTAGATCCATTCCTAGTGAGTACCTGCATCCTGGTTTGCAGATCTCCACATCCACACATGGCAGATAGCAAAGAGAAGCAAGCTGTCTCCTATCTTTTCTTACAAGGGCACTAATCCCATTCATAAGGGCTCTACTTTATAGTTCTCAAAGTCTCCACTTCCAAATACCATCACATTGGGGATTAGGTTTCAATATACAAACTTAAAAGGGATACAAACATTTAGTCATGGTACCAATATTGGAAAATAATGTCAATAATCTTAATCATTTTGAGTTTTCAAAAATATTGCTTCATGTTAATCAATACAATTTTTTATTTAAAGTTTAGTCATTGCAGAATTGTCTCAAGTATACACCCGTGCACACACATGCACACATCCGTATGTCTACATTCTATAGATATCTTCATCTGCATATGCATAGACATGCTTGTATATAACTTTCAAATGTGGAGTTAACATGCATCATCAAATACAAAATCCTTTCTAAGTTTTTAACAACTAGATCACTAAATTTCCCCTATTTAGATCATCTCTAAGGCTTCCAGTAAAATGGGGATCATGAGCTGAGCTAGCCTGGAAGGATGACATAGATCTTGTAATTAATGGAAGAAAAGGACTGAACTGAGGTATGATCATTGTGTGCTCTAAAAGGCAGAGTCTGGAATGAGATAAGCTTCCACTAATAATTACTCATTATATTGGAAATTCTGTATATTTCTACCTCTGATATATTTACATATACTTTTTTTCTGAGGAATTTCCTTTATTGATGGAGACATGTGTCTTCACATATGAAGACACATATGTACAAGAACTATTATTTCCCACCTGGGTTTCTTTCTTTACACCAGCTCTCAACCTCGGCCAGATCATTTAAGGAATTCATTAATTCTTTTTAGCAGTTACTGAGCAGTTACTCTGTGCTTGGCATGATTGTGTGCAAAGATGGAACAGTTAACAAAACAGATACATCTTTTTCACGGAGTTTGGGGTCAGGGGTTTGAGAGAAATTGGATGCAAAATGAGTCAATCATAGCAATAAGTACAAAACAATGTAATTTCCGACAAACTATAGTGAAGAAGTTAAAATACCCCTCCCTCTCTTCCCATTCTCTAGCTTCTCCCCATCTCCAACTCATCATCTCTTAAAGGCCCAAGAACCTTCCCCACCATTCCTCTCCTGAGGATCTGCTGGTCCCATCTACTTCCGTCATGCCACTTCACTGCATTGATTTGTTTACCTGTCTTATTTTTCCCAGCTAGACTTTAAGCCTCTTTGCAGTAAAGGTCAAATATATTTTATTAATCATTTTGTAGTTGTGATTCCTGGCACACAGTCTATTTTCACTCACCGTTGTAACCTCCAAGACATAGCATATAACGTGTGCAATAAATGCCAACAAACTGAATGATTCTGTTGAAGGGATGAAAAAAAAAACTAACATTAAGTTAGCATTGAGCTATGATTGTGCAACTTAAATAGTCATGACTTGGTAGCCTTGATGTCAATTTTCGACAGAGTCTTTAGGACAACCTCTTGAGAGCCCTGTTCTATTGTTCTAATCCAGGCACTCTTATCCAGGGCACCGTTTTGTAAAGTTATTATTGCAGTTTAAGATTTACACCACTAATGTGATATCAGAAGGTGAGCAGATAGCCTCTGTAGTTATCAGCTGAGGCAAGCTCACAGGCACTGAAGAAAGATCTTATATTATCCAGAACCCAGAGAGCATGCTTCTAGAGAGAATTAGAGCAGTGAATACTAAAGTACCAACACAGCACTCTAGAACAACAGTTGAATAATTTGAGGACAGTGGAGGTACTAGAAATTCCAGTCTTCGAAAGAACACTGTGAAATCACAATGGCTTTGGGCCAACAGTCAAAGGGCTCTAAACTGCCCAGGTCTTTATTTAATGCCTCCTTTGGGTCTACAAGTTTCAAGAAAGATGGAAGAAAAGCCCTTGGCGTTTCAACAATATAGAGTTTCTTAAAGCGATATTGGAGTCATCTTCATGGTAGTGGACCTAGTACAGGCCAGGAAGCAAATCTGAAGAATGAATTGCTTTGAACATTAATGAGAAAATTCCTCATAATGTTGGCAAAGCAGTTAGAGCAGAATCATTCTAAAAACTCTATTACATACTAGATCTCAGCTTGGATTTTATTTTAGAGTTACACCTAAAGAATTCTTTTTTATCAGGAGGCCAGTCAAATTAACAGCTCTGATGCACTCTTACATTCTCCCTACTAATTTTTCTCAAGCAACAAATAGTTCTAGGAACATGGGTGAGCTCCTGTGCCTTCCTTCTACCTTCAAAGACAGAAACAAAGTATAGAAACCCACAAATCACATGGAGTATCTAAGAAGCCTGAGGTCTCCTGTAAAGTAACAACATGCATCCACTCTGGTTTGTGGTTATAGACTTATTTTTAGGTAAATTTAGGAAAAGAATAGCAAATATTGAGTAGCAAAAAATCCTTTCTATTTTTATTTTTACCAATGTAAAATCTGAACCACAACATTGCTGAATTAGAAAAACTCAGACAGAAAAAAACATGTTATTAAGGATCAAGTAATGAACTTTTCCTGAATTTCTATATGTAGTCTCTTTACCAAAGAACAAAGAAGAATTAAAAAAAGATCAATAAATTTATKTGAATTTAGATTAATATAGGATACACCCTGTTCTATTATTATAGTACCATTATTCCTAGAATTTTAAATAACTACAGTTTATTGAGCACATAACTTGTGTTGGGCAATATACTAAATGTTTCATGTAATTTTCTAATTTTATTTCCTCAACAACACTATATATGGAGTAAGTATCGTTAATTTCACATCCACAAATAGGGAAATTGGGATTCAGAAATATTAGGTAATTAGCTCTAAATCTTGTAGGTAGTAAATTGAAGAGTCAGGATTAGGAAGCAAATGTGTATGACTTTAAAGGTTGTGTTCTTTCCAATGTATAAATTGCCTTCAGAGAAATTGAACTCAGAGATCAAACAATATTCTTCCTTCATTAAATACAAAATTTAAGGATAAGACTGACAGTGCTATTTAATGCTAAACTATGTGTAATTTTAAACCATTAATTCATAGTAATACTTTTTAAAGATTTAACTTAAATGCATTTAACTTATTTTACTTAAATTGATTTGCATTACTGAGTCTAAGCTCATTTCTGAGGAAAGCCATATRCTAAGTGCAAGCATATTTCATTGGTCTTTCTAAGGTCATTACAGTTTTTGAGTCCAGTATGACGGTTCACAATGGGATGGTGAGAGTTCAAACACACATTGTGTTTAAAACAGGAAAGTCAGGATCTGGAAGAGCACCTAGCAGGAACTGCAGCAGAGACTTAAAACACTMCAATACACTATCAACATTAAATGAAGTTTTACTAGAGCAAATGAGGTTTAGGAGAAGGAATAGATGGAAAGAGACAGAAATTCAGGGCCTGAAACAGATACCTGTTATAATACCTGTGTCAAAATGTCAAAATAAACTGAAGTTATTTTCTCTAAAGTCATTCAGCATAAGCATGCTAAATACCTCTTACCATATTGGGGTGTTATTCAATTCATTCTAAGGGAATGATCACCCAAGTGATTGTCAGCAAATCCTTCGAACTATAACATGATTTACTTTTCACAGACATGATTGTAGCTTCATGTTGCTATTTAAGGTAACCACAATCACAGTTCAGCACGATTACCTAGATACACCGATTTCATGGTGTTAACATCCCACATCTACCTATTAAGATAAACTATTTTTTGTAGGTTTCTAAATCATTTGCTTTCTGTTGCTTCCCACTTCTTAAGTTGGGTTGGAAGGGAAGGCAGAGGAAAAGGGAAGTAGAAGAAAAAAAATATTATGTGCATACACACAGAAACAAAACAAAAAGAAATATTAAAATAATTCAAATTTGGCTCTTTAAGTATTGATTCACGTAATGAATTCTCCCTATAATTTTTAAGACACATTTACTTGCATTTCTTATTTTATGAGACGGAAAGGTAGTATTAATTTCTCCTCTGCTTTAAGTGTTTCCTTTGCAAATGGGAGTGTAGCAAAAACAGAGCTGGAAGTGCAGTAACATGGGACAATTGATTTCTTTTTTTTTGTTACCTTGTAATTTCTGGTTGTATTCAGTTCTGTCAGACTGGCTCCTCCTCAAAGTACCAGAGTGGTCCCCAGAAACACTGCTCTCAACCACAGTGTCAGTCTTCCGTCTCTCCAGCATATACATCCTGGGCCTCAAGAAGGTCAGGTTCTTTCTCTTGGTGCCCATGTTTTCTTTCCCAGTGGCACCTTTGGGCTCCATCTGGGGCAAAGACAACCTTCAGGGGTTTGCAGGCAACAGTGCTAAGGTGCTTCAGGGTGAGGGTGAAAGCCACTGGAGTGAGGAGTTTAACTGCCCCCTTCTAACTAAACAGCTTCGCTCCAGGGTTACCTGGCTGTGACTGCCACCTCTACGGAGTCCCAGAGCTCCACCCCTATGAGGTCATTCTATTTTATGCCTAGAATCCGTCTGGGGAAGCTGCCACCTGTTACCTGAGAGACTTGCAGCACAGATCTAGGCAAAGCAGGGACTGTGCTGTCACATGCTACTGAAGCAAACAAAAATCCTATTGTGTGGGGCAAGGCCTGGGGGTTGATGTGGGGAAGAAAAGTGAGCAAGGTGAGGCCAGGAGGAAGGGAAGTGAGCATTAGCATAACCTGCGGCTTTTGGGTTTAATGTGTTCCTATGGGTGTGTACAGGTGCGCTTGGGACACTGTGTTGTGCTTTGCTGCCTGGAGGAAGACAGGATCCTGGGTAGCCTCTGATGAGGATCATTCACCTGCAACCCAGGGAGTCTGGGCTGTGAGAATTTGCATTAGCATGACAACAGAACAGATTGTTTTTAATTTTGACGGTAAGTACTCAAAGTAATGCTTCTGCTTTTAAAAATCAAACATGCAGAGATTATTTATTAAAAACATACTTGCCAAACCCTGTTCCAAATTCCTGAGGAAAAAGAAAAAGGATTCACGTTTGAGAGTGATCTGGTAGAAGTCATAAGAAGCAGAGGGGAATGCCCACAGAAGCCTAGAACCTTCTCAGTTTCTTATTTTCCACATACTACTCTTGAATTAAATCAATTCCTTGGTGTTTGAAACCCTATTCTATGTCTTGGTCTCTAGGAAAACAAGTGCAGAGTCAGGTTTGATTTCTTTAATCTGTTCCATAGATGGACTTCCAAGAAAGGGCAGTCTGTTTGGGGAAAACAAGAGAGGGAAAAATGTTTGACCTGAGGAGGAAGGCAGAAAGCAGAAAAAAAAATGGTAGCAAGCATTGAGAGAAAGAAAGGCAAATGGTGAGAGGCCTTGCATAAATTTTTTTGAGGTTGTTTTTCCTTGTATTTACTGAGATCTCTCAAGGGGGAACCTCTCCGAAGCTCTGGGAATGTGCTGAGAGTTTTGTATTCCCTCATTAAGGAAAAGAGACCCTAACTCAGAAAATATATTCTTTTCTATTGTAAAGGGACCACCAAAATACAGCCTTGTGTTGCCCATTCTGAATCTTGCCTAACTCCTGTTAGACAAGTTTTATAGATAAGAAAAAGAGATTAAAAAAAAAATTGGAAAATGGAAAAACTCAGAATGTGTGGGCTGAATGCAATTTGCATAATTATCTTAAAAGATAAATGACAAATCTCTACTCACCATAGAGACATCTATATATAGCTTGGTATATTGAATGCCTTATATTTAATATAATTGACAGTCTTTTAAAAATAAATGCTCCCAAATATATTTAATAAATATTTTTAAAGGCATATTCGCCTCTAAGATATAAAATGAACTTTTGAAATTTATGTAAAAAAGTGTCTCAAGCTAGGTTCTCAAGCACATACCTGTAATTCCAACAGCTTGGGAGGCTGAGGCAGGAAGATTGTGAAATCAAAGCCAGGTTCACCAACTTAGTGAGATCCTGTCTCAAAATGAAGAATTTTTTTAAAAAGGGCTGGAGATGTGGCTCAGTGGTAAAGTGCCCCTAGTTTCAATCTCCAGGACCAAACCAAACCAAATTAAACAACAAAAAAAAAGTGTCTCAATTATTTTCTAATCTAACATGTGTATCGCATGTATGTATTACACATGTGTATATATCTGTGTGTGTGTGCATTACTCCTAATAACTACCACAATTAAACTACTTAGACATAATACCATAGCAAAATCATGCAATTAAAAACTGCAGAAATTAAGAGGTTTAGGGATACAACATTCAGAAAATTTCTCAGAGGCTCTTAAAAACCAGATAGAAATCTAATACAACCAGATAGATACCACTTGCATGGTTTACACATGACCAATGTTTAAGAAATACACAAATACTATAAAAAATGCCCCTTTATCTTGAAAAAGACCTGGCATTTGCTTGAGGACGTTTATCTCAGAAAGGTTGCTGTGTGTGAGTTGTTGTGAAATGGTGGAAGACGTATCTTTTGAAATCAGAAACAGCAGCAGATGCGGGTGGGTGTGGCTCCTAACACAGGCAGAGACCGAGGCCACTGGAAACATTTAAAGTGTACATGTGTGAGGTTTGTGTATTCCTGTGCCAGCAGGTTATCCAGATACATTTTTCTACATTCACCTACAGTTGTAAATGAACAAATTCACAAACAAACAAATGTGAAATTGTGTGATGCTCAAATGGTTCCCTAATACAGCAATCTTTCTGGAAAAAAAAAATTTCTCTTTTTAAAACAATCATCATAACCGACGTGATTCTGCAATCTGCATTTGGGGTAAAATTGGGAGTTCATAACCCACTTCAATCTAATGTATGAAATATGATATGTCAATAGCTTTGTAATGTTGTGAACAACCAATAAAAAAAAGAAAAAATAAATAAAAAAAATAAAAATAAAACAATCATCATAGCAGAAATTATTCTAGTAGCTTTATTATGTTTTTTAAAATTTCAACAATTGTAAAGAGACTTAGCATAGCTACTGGGAATTCAATGGTCAATACATATTTTTTATTCATAATAATTTTCATGTAAACTTAAAATGAATACATAAGTTCTTTTAAAACTGCCTTTTTTCAGCCAATGAATGGGGAAGACACTGTTGGTTGTTCACTCAATCTTTATTCCTACTACCTCCTACCTCCTCGTCTTCATGTGCCAGGAGAAACCTTACTGCCCAAGGCAGCATTTGAATTGTCCAATCAATTCTAATTTTGTTTCTTCTTTTTCTGTTCTTTCTTGCAGCAAAGAGTGATCATGTAACCCCATTCTTGGTAAATGGGACCTCAATATAATCTTCTAGAATGAGGGGCAGCATATCGATTCTAGGAAAGAGTTTGCTTCTCTAATAAAAGTGGTGGCCTAGCTGGCTTCAACATTCCCCCTTTCAGAATTGATCATAGGCACAATACATGGAGCAGTAACAGCCATCCTATATCTACGAGAAAAGACTAAGACATCCATGAACTCTTATTGAATTACTTTACCAAAGTCAGTAGTCATCTACATTTATACTTCTTATTATTAGGGTAAAATAAACTTCCCTTTCCTAAGCCATCATTGGATTTCCTGTTTGAACATATTTGTAATGGATTTAGTAGACAGTGTGCAGGATACATAAAGATTCATAGTTCTCTTGCTTATCTTCTTGACATTTCTTAAGCCAGTGTGTTCAGAGTCTCCCACTTAAAATATGATTTAGTTTTGCTGGAAATGAAAGCAGCCTGGTTAGATTTCGAGTGGGCATCTTGCTAGAGCATCAGCAAGGCAAAAGGAACAAGGGTTCTAATCTATCTAGGCTTTATGTTTTTTGGAAAAGGTATAAAAAAACTTTTACTACAAGCTTATATTACTTTATTAAATATCTACACCAAGATGTTTAAATGTATTTTATTTAGACTAAGGAACAAGCAGTTCCTCATCTAGAAAAAGCAATGGGCAGGGAATCTAAGATTCAGTTTTAGTCTCAGCTAAGACATAAATCAGCTTCATGACATTACAACTGACAACATCTCTCTAGTCCTAATTTCTTCATTGTAAAATGTAAGGGAGAAGTAGTCATTAGTGCAATTCACCCAATATTTTTGGCTCTTCCTTTAGGCATATGGGAATATTGCTCTGCCTTTCAGTCTATCCCTGCCCATGTAACTTCATTTGGTTAAAGAAATTGATCGAAAATGGTATATGTCATTTCTGGTAGAGTGTTAAGAACCCAGTGTGTTTCTCTTCTTCATCTATGGGAATAAGCAAGATTCCAGGCAGCAGCTGCCTTGTCAGGATGTTTCTTAGAATGTACATGACTCAAAGCTCCTGGCCACTCCATAATGTTGTATAGTTTGAGCATGAAAGAATTCTTTGTTGCTTTGAGCTACTGATAGAGATTTTTTGTTACTGCAGCATAATTTAGACTATACTCAGAATGCAGGATATATAGGTTAAATGATGCATAAATACACAAATCATTTTTAGGTCTAATGTTATGTGATTTCAGGATTTAAAACCCAGGTATATTAGGTTGTATAACTCCTAATTCCAAAAGAGAAATAGCATCAGTCAGGTTAAGCCGACGCAGATCCAGGAAAGAGATTCAGGATGCCAGCAATTGGAAGATGCAAGACACAATTGGGTTAATAGATATGCTTTATCCAGAGGTGGTTTTAGCCCCTAGACAGCCCCCAACCAGACCCCAGCTCCAGCTTCAGCCCCCAGCCAGTTCCATTTTGCCCCTACCTCCAAGCCATTTTCATAGGGCTTTTTTATACCCAGGCCAGACAAAAAGGTTACATTAGTGGGCACATGCTCACAAGTAAATGTTTATGACCTTGAATTCATATTCTGAATCAGGGTGTTCGTGACCTTAACTACACACTGAACAGTCCACTGCAAGTCTTGTTGAGGGAGCCTAACTATAGCCATTTTGGGCCTGCCTTACAATCCACCCTTTTAGGATTCCTTGACATACAATCTACATGTCTGAAGTCTTATGCAAAGAGCCCTTATGCAAAGAGGAGGGCAGAGCTCTGTATCCACAGGCCACAACAATATATGTTGTAGCCACATATCATCAGAAAACAAGCCCCATCACCTAGGATTACTAAAAATCATTGCCAGTTTCATCCCATATTGAGGTAGCAATGAAAGTTTCCCAATCATATCCATCTGTCCAGGGACATAGTCTGGATTTGCCAGGCTAATCCAGGGGCAGAACTCTCAGGCATCTTTGTGCCTAACCAGCAGACAGAGGTGTTTGCTACCCTGACATAGGTATGTGCCTAGCCCATGACAGTGTTAGTGAGAACACACCTAGAGTCAAAAGGACAAAGCAGTTACAGACAGGTACCAGTACAGGTAAATCACATCCATCTGGGAGAATGGATGCAAACTTTGAGTCCCTGGAAAGCAGAGTAGCTGCCTGTGGTGTCTTCCCTGAGTGGTGATAACACATGG